ACATTTAGCATGAGCATTCAAATTTCATTATTTGTGCATCATTTTAAAATTTGGTTTGCACCATCGTGTTCCTCATGAAATTCTAGGCAAGATTGATTAAAATTTCATCCAAATTGGTTAAGTATTGACAAAGTTACGCGTCAAATCGTATTTTGAAGTTTCACTTGTTTTGCCTTGGTCAATTGCCCAGCCACACGCTTTGTATAGTTTACATATTATTTGGGGTGGCATAGTCAATGGATGTATCGCCACCCCAGTTGTTAATGCCTTGCCTTAAAACGCCTTATCATGCCTTGTGTCCTGAGTTCGAGCCTCAGCGAGGCCTTTTTCTGTTTCAATTTATTATTCCCCATGTTTATTTATTTTGTTCATCCTTTCCATTTAATTTCACAAGCGCGCACATGGGCCTGGTGGTAAGGTGTACTGCTTGTGGTTCTAAGGGTGGTGTGTTCAACACCCATCTAATGTATCTTTATTTTTAATTATTTGATTTTTTCATGTTTCTTCACAATATTCAAAAAATCATAACTTGTTCAATTTTAATCCTTTTTTAGTGATTCTTTTTGCTAAATTCTTGTGTTAATATATATTTTCACATGATGTATGATTCACATTTTTATCCTTTATCCTAGCCTTAGGATTCGAGTCTCCGTGCTCATGATTACCGTCCCCGCCGTGGACAACCTTTCATCCTTTATCCTAGCCTTAGGATCCGAGTCACTGTGCTCACTTTTACCGTCCCGCCGTGGACATCCTTTATCACAACAATCTCAACATAGATTTAGGAGTCGCCGTACTCCCTGTAAGTACTTTCTTATGAAGGCTTACATCCCTTTTGAATCTTGACCACAGTCAAGAGTTCTTCACCCCTAGTTAGGGGAACTACGAATGCTCTGATTTATCAAAATTCCTTTTGAGAATACGTAGGCACAAGGCCCCGGTCCTTGGCGAGAAACCTTTTCTTTTTTCCTTCGCTTCAACCTTTATCTTTACCCTTAGTACTTTCCCTTAGCAAGCAAACTTTAGCAAACACAAATACTAACAAGAGGTTCCTGTAGAGTACTACAGATGTTTAGGATGTGAAATACCTACCCTATGCATAACCAACCCCCGAACCTTTAGATCTCTCTTTACTTAGCTTTAAGCCTTGCTTTTTGCTTTGCATTTTTACAGGTTCTTCTTTCTTTAAACCTTTCCTTTTTGGATAAATTAAAGTCCGGTTGTGAATTGAAGAATTAAATATTCAAGTTAATCAATAGCTTGGTGTCACGATTCTTACCGCAACAACACTGAGGCATAATGTTCGAACCACCAATTGTAGAATTCTAAGGAGCAGAAGTAGGAAGGTTCAAAATAAATGGGTGTAAGGAGTGACTTGTGGGCATGGCGTGCCAGTTGTGTTGAGCATTTTATGGGGTTGACAACGGTGAGAGGGAGTATAACCTGTGATTTCTTATCATATAAACATTTGGGTAAAATTTGTATTAGCCCGAACTGCCGTGATACCAAGTTTGGCTGATAGGCTACCAAAATGGCTTGTCCTCTGACGAGGTTGAGTTTGTGAACTAACAGTCGAGGTGTAAGAAATCGCTCCCAGATTAGCTTCGATTCGTCTTCATGTTTCTTTAGCAGATGAGGGAAAAGTCTGGTGAACCACTCAGGGCCGTATTTCCTTTCAGTGAATAGAGCCATTCTTGGGGTGAACTCATGACGTTTGGCGAACATATGGATGAAGTTTGAAAGGTTGACTCAAAGCGTGTGTCCTTCTTCGCTTGGAGTAAGTTAAACTAAGCGGGGCCATTCAACTTGCCTTTCAGAAACGGAAGGCAAATCCTCATCGACTTCTCCTTTGTTGGGAAGGCTGCCTTCGAAAGTGGCATTGAGCCACAATTAGAGTAGCCAGAAGGGACCTGACATTAGTAGGTTGCCATGACTTTCAGGGTCCTTCAGCTTACTAGCGCCTTCGCTCAAGGCCTTGTACAGACTAGTCAGGATTATTTCGCTCAGGCAAATTCCCCTTTTTAGGTGTAGTTGATTTGCCAAAATGAGGTATTTTCGTGCCATATGCAAATATTTAGTATAGAAGACACAGGGAGACAACCACATGGCCAAGAAGGCTATATGTTCTTCATCCTCGACAATAGTAGTGTCCTTGTTGTGATAGTGGTTGACAAAGTGGGTGTAGGTATGCTTTGTATTCTAAAATCCTATGGTATCTTGACAGTCAATTTCAGGGTCATAAACTAATCCATGGGGTTTCAGTCTTATGATGGCAGCTATATCAAAAAGTATAGGTGTCATCATCCCACACGGAAGGTGGAAAGTGTGATGGGTGTTGTCCCAGAAAAACAAAGAAGAAGCCAGCATGAGGGGACAATAATTAGGGCCAACCTTCGACATCATTATGAGGTCATCGATGCCAGTCTCTTTCCAGTCCTGGGTTTTTACCTTATCCACTTTTGCTAACCAGTTAAGGTAAAGTCCGGAGTCCTTAAAATAAGGGGTGGATCTAAACAACCTAGCTCTGTCATGGAGGTACTTAAGGTCTATGTTGTAGGAAGCTAGACTATCAGGACCATCAGCGGGAACCTTGCTAGAGTCCTTTTGCCCTAAGGGTTTGGTTGTTCTGTAAGAAGGGAAGAAGACGCTTAAACTAAAATAGTCAAGACCTAAGGGAGACAGTGGGCCAGCCATTGCTAAGGGTTTACCTGCAACAGTGACAAGGATGATTACCTGGGATTCGTAAGTGTGGCGTTTATCCTCCAGCAATGGTTCGTGAATGAATTGCTGGTTCTTCACGACTTTGGGGCCACTCAAGGTGGTGAAAAGAGGGAGGACCGACGTAGAGGATTGCCTTTTGGGTTATGTCTTTTTCTTCTGATTCTGGTGTTCGGCCATTGTTGAAGTTAAGGAAGGAAGTGTTCTTAAGAAGAAAGGGATATTTGGAGAGAAAAAGAACGCAAGAGTTTTTCTGGGAATTGAAAAGAGTAAAAATGATGCCTAAGGAAGTTATTTATATGAAGTATGGGAAATCAAGATTTTTTTTTATCATAAGTGGCTAGAGTTATTGGGCCACGTGTGTGTCCTGAGGTGGAGAAATAGGGGTGGCAATTGTAACCTCCATCCCCTAAGCTCTAAAAGAGTGATGATAATTTATGATTTTTGTGAGTTCCCAGAAATTTGCCATGATGACCCATGACGTCAGGAACGTGCACAAAGGTGACGGAGCAGTTACTTGCGTGTTTTGTTTATTTTCCTTTTCTCTCTCTTTCCCTTTTCATCTTCTCAGGCATTAGTCAGGCTAAATCATACCGATTGACATGTGTAAGTCGAAATAGCGGCGTCGAATTAGATGTTGTCAAAAAAATGCGCTTTTTCTACATAAGGGTTGAAAAAGACATTTTTTGGGGGGCAATTTGTTAGCTCATAAATTTGACACCTCTTGCAAGTTGAGATATTTAATAAAATGGCATCAGAATCTCGTTGGAGATAAAAGCTGATCAAAGAGTCCAAGGTTTACAAAGAAAAAGTGTCGAAACATTTGGATGGCTTTGGGAAAAATCATGAAACGTCGAAGGGTCATGCTTCGACCGAGACATTTCTTGATGACTATCTTAAAGATTTGAAATTCAAATAAATTGGAGGGAGTAGTTTCATTCGCTAATGACTAAGAGGACATGTGGCACCCGGTGAGCGAAGGATTCCATGCATCACGACATGTGTCAGAAGGTGATGGTTTGGGAAGTTATTGTTAGTTATTTCTTCTATTATAAATATGAGTTTAGAGATTAAATTAAGTGTGTTGTAATTTACTTTTGTACAAGTCACTCCTATAATTACTCCAAGTATCTGTGTGTAGAGAAAGAAAGTATCAAGGAGAATGTACATAATATAAACACACCATGTTTTACTTTTCAATGAAGTTTACTTTGTCCTTTTACTTTTATTAAGTTTCGTTACCTTTTCGCCATAAGTTTCTAGTTTTTATGCATTCTTATTTTACTTTACCTTTAACCCCTTTCCTTCCTCCAAAGATTTCTATTTCTTTCTATCTAAATTTCTATCTCCTTCCTCTCTTCAGTCTAATAAACAGTTCTACCCTTAAGACTTTTCACCCAATATTGTTGAAGTGTGTAACTTAGGCAGATTATAGAAAACAAAACCTTTTAGCACATGTCCTACGATCAATCTGATCGATCTTGTGAGTCACTAAAGTTAGATTTGGAAGATCAACGGTTGTTTTCCGATTTTCAAGGGAAACACTTCCACAAATGGATTAAACATAATTGTCTTCTTTCGAACGAGATCACTGTAATGATTCGTGACTTTTAGAATTAAAAGGCTTTAATCGTGAAAACTCGTGAGAATTATAAGTCGATTCCCATAGACGATGTCATTGTTCTGTTTAGGAACCACAAATAGTTGATAACCAAGGGAAATATGATCCATGTGCGTTGGAATGAGCTTCTAGTACGAAGGAGCTTGGTGAGTCTGCAAGGTTAACACTCAAACACTCAAGTCAGTGAATGATTGAGAAGTAATATGAGTAGAATACACATGTCTTGTCGCATGAAGAACTTCATATATGGAAGACAATTATAATTACCTCATGTCACTCGATTTAAGATGTGAATGACCGTTCGAATAAATCTGACGACAGACGATCACCCGAGAGTAATGATCGAGTGCTGACTTATGGACTACAAAATTACTTGACCTTCAATAAACTAGCATTCATGCTTTTGAATTGAAGTCTCTCTTAATTAGACCTCTTCATATTTAAGTCCAAGCTCGACTTGAAAAAAAAAAAAAAAAAAAAATTTAGTCCTTATCTCATCTATGAAAAGAAGATTACAAAGAAAAGAATGAAAAAATAAAATACTACTTAAATTGGTAATATTTTCCTCAATCTTATCTTTGTCTATTAAAACTTGTAGTTATCAAAGTAGGTTTGGATACACAGCATAGAGCCACTCCAATAGCACTCCCATTTTCACACGATGGCTTCTTCCACAACAACTCTGTTTCAATCTTCACCCTTCTCTCTCAACGCCAAAACCAAACCGTATTCTCTTCCCAAATCAAAACCCACCAATTTCATCATCAAATCCCAATCCCAATCTCAACCAGAACCCCTCACTCACAACAACAACAACAACTCAACTCCTTCCTCCGCCACTCCATCGCCTGCTTCCTCCAAACACCGCCGTCCCGCCGACGAAAACATCCGCGACGAAGCTCGTCGCATTAACGTCTCCCAACGTCTCTTCTCCGCGAAATACGTCCCTTTCAACGCCGATCCGTCTTCCACTGAATCCTACTCCCTCGACGAGATCGTTTATCGATCCCAATCCGGGGGCCTCCTCGATGTCCAACACGATCTCGACGCGCTCAAGAAATTCGATGGCGCTTACTGGCGTAACCTCTTCGATTCACGCGTGGGGAAAACCACGTGGCCTTATGGTTCTGGTGTGTGGAGCAAAAAAGAGTGGGTTCTTCCTGAGATCAACGATGATGACATCGTTAGTGCTTTTGAAGGTAACTCTAATCTTTTCTGGGCTGAGCGTTTTGGCAAACAGTTTCTAGGCATGAATGATCTGTGGGTTAAGAATTGCGGTACTAGTCATACTGGTAGTTTCAAGGATCTAGGTATGACAGTTCTTGTTAGCCAGGTTAACCGTCTCAGGAAAATGAACCGCCCTGTTGTTGGTGTTGGTTGTGCTTCCACTGGGGATACTTCCGCTGCTTTGTCTGCTTATTGTGCATCTGCTGGGATACCTTCCATTGTTTTCCTGCCTGCTAATAGAATCTCTATTGCTCAATTGGTTCAGCCGATTGCGAATGGGGCGTTTGTTCTTAGCATCGACACTGATTTTGATGGGTGCATGCAGTTGATTCGTGAAGTAACTGCTGAATTGCCTATTTATTTGGCTAATTCTCTTAACAGTTTGAGGCTTGAAGGACAGAAAACTGCTGCTATTGAGATTCTGCAGCAGTTTGATTGGCAGGTGCCTGATTGGGTTATTGTACCCGGTGGAAACCTTGGAAATATTTATGCTTTTTATAAAGGGTTTCATATGTGTAAAGAGTTAGGTCTTGTGGATAGGATTCCAAGGCTTGTTTGTGCTCAAGCTGCAAATGCAAATCCTTTGTATTTGTATTTTAAGTCGGGCTGGAAAGAGTTTAAGCCAGTTAGGGCACAGACTACTTTTGCATCTGCTATTCAGATTGGTGATCCTGTTTCTATTGATAGAGCTGTTCACGCTTTGAAGAATTGTAATGGTATTGTTGAGGAAGCTACTGAGGAAGAATTGATGGATGCTATGGCTCAGGCTGATTCGACTGGAATGTTTACTTGTCCTCACACTGGTGTTGCTTTGACTGCTTTGTTTAAGCTCAGGAATAGTGGTGTTATTAAGCCTACTGATAGGACTGTTGTTGTGAGCACTGCACATGGGTTGAAGTTTACTCAGTCCAAAATTGATTACCATTCAAAGAATATCAAAGACTTGGCTTGCCAATTTGCCAATCCTCCAATGCAGGTCAAGGCTGATTTTGGATCTGTTATGGATGTTTTGTCCAAGTATTTGCAGAGCAAGGCACCCAAGTATCATTAGGTTTGCACTGCCGGTTTTGCTCCTGTGTTTTTACAGCTTGTTTACTTATTAGGCATTGTGTTGTCTTTTGTATTAGCTTTTTGGTCTATCTGAGGATTTACTTGCATTCTGTTTGCGTGGTGGTTTTGTTGTAGTCGATCTTTGTTGAGCATTTTGTAGCTCATCTAGAAACTATTTGGATAAGATGAGGAGCACTCATCACTGGCTTTGTTATTGCAATATTATATATATCAATGCCCCATAAAACAGATTTCTTGCTTCTTATCCACGTGGTTTAAGCTAAATGTTGGTACTTATAAAGAGAGAACTCGTCTCTAAAGATTTCTCTATTAGGTTAGAAAATTCTTGAAGCATCACCAATGTTATGGGCATTAGCCCAACGAATTGTCTATTAGATAGGAGAATCAACTTATACTAGTTCTACTTAATAGGTGAACCTACCCAATGCAAGTCTCCTAGCGAAGCATTGGAGAGCCGCCCATGTCCTCGTCAGCAACTCTTCACTCGGTGATACTTAACTCGTTTTTTTATTGGTTAGAAGTTAGAACCCTGGATAGTACTCGCCTTGACGTTAAGCATTAGTATAAAGATAAAACTTATCTCAAGACTAATCCATTAAGCATTCATTTGGTTTAGTGCTGGCTTTTACAGAATCACAGGGGGTTTTCATGTTTTAACCAGATTTGTTTTGTAGCTTAAACATTTCAACCTTAAGCTTGCATTGCGACGTAAAAATTGCTGTTTCATAGCAGATCCATACGCATACCAAGTTGGATGACTCTTATATTTATTAGTTCAATTATTAGGAGCTCTCTGGAGTGTAAATAAAACAACCACATCTTTTCAGTTATGATATCAATAAAGGAAAGGGACCCATGACTGGACCCTGAACTGTTGAGTTGACATCAGTGGAGATTTTTTTGGGTATAACCTATTCAAGATGACGACAAATTGGAATTTCATGAGTTAGTTGAACTTGAACGTGTATGTATAATTTACAAAAGTCGTTATAATTCAGCCTGCAAAGATATTCACCTGTGTTCCTAGCCTTGTCTGACAGCATAATAAAATTTATTACTACAAATAAACTAAACAAAAGTGCCGTTAAGGGTTCTATACTTTCCCCCAAAGGGCCATTTGGATTGAATTTTACATAAGCTAATATTGAATAAAATACTTAACTTCCCTTGTGTTACATTACACTGGTTTTACTTGAGAAATACATAAACCTTCCATAGCCGCAGAAAAGTACTCTCTCTACAAGAAAGAGTTCCCTTGTATTGTGTAGGAGAAGATCAAGAAAGAGTTTCTTCCATAGGTGCTTATTTTTGAGTAAATGATTGCATTCTAAAATAATACTATTCCTAACAAAGAATGTATCTACACTCTCATCGTCAATAAATATACTTTTAAAATTGTAATGAACCAAAGAAATTGAACAAATAACTAATGCATGTAAGTTAATAGCATACTAATATGCAGACAAATCAAGAGTTGTATATATATGCTAGCAAGAATTTGAAGAAGAAAATTCACTTCAAAAACAAAACAATTAAAAAGGACTTGAGACAATGTTTTCAATTTCTTTTTTTGTTATCAGTTTTGGTGATGAAGGTTATTATGGAGATTAGAATCCCCTATCCCTTGATTCTTCATTAAATTCATTTTCTCCATTCTTAGACCAGCCCTGAAGCTTTCAATAAAACTGCCAGCTTTGTTATCAACATCTGGGTTGGGATTAGGATACACCAACAGATCAATTCCAGGTTCTGCTAACTCCAATACTTCATCATCATCTATATCTGCCAAACCACTACTTGTACTACTAATACTATCTATTCTAACAAAGTCACCCTGTACCTTAAACTTCCACGCCGGCATCTTGAACGGTGGCGGTGGGGGAGGTGGCGGAGGTATTGAGATCAAAGGCGACTCATTACCGATAATCACAGAAAAATCCACATCCTTTGTTTTTGACACAGTCTTGGATGAAACATGATGTTGCGACGGCGTAACAGACTTATGCTTCTTCTGTTTGTTTTTCTTGGAATAGAATAAATTATCAAAAGATGAAGAAGAAGCTATAGTAGTAGGAGGTTCAGAATTCAGAAGGCTCTGAAAATTTTCAACGCTTTTATGTCTATGCTTCTTCTTCTTCCCTTTCCCTTTCGAAGATTGATACGCTTTCTCATCCTTTATTGCACTTTTTTCTACAGCGTTACTATTTTTTGTTTTCTCAATCGTTTCAGCTTGTTTCTTCTTATTCTTTCCTTTCAAAGATGTGTTCACTTCAATGCTCTTGATTCTTGTTTCTTCTTTTTCTTCTTTCAAGTTTAAGTCCAATCCATGATTGTAACCATTAACACGAGTATCATCGCTAAATCGCCACCGTTCATCTCCGGTTACCCACCAAGACTCTTGCCTGAGATCCGGGTAGGAGTTGAAACTCCTCAGCCTGTTATATGGAGTTCTATCTTCTGAGTACTCATACCAAGAATGTGGCTGTGTTTCTGTTTCTGGGTTTGGTTTCTCGTACTCTTGTCGTGTGTTTGTGTCTGAAAAGGTGCGATCTTTGTACGAACGCGGACTTTCATTGTTGTTATTGTTTTTGCTAAGGAAGCCACAGAATATGGCAAAGAGAACAAGCAAAAGGTTGAGAGAATCCCAACTCTTCTTCACAGAATTGGGTTTGAGAAGGTGGGAAGTGAAAGAGTGCAATGTAGGAACTATAACTAAGATGAATGCAAGTGTAATTACTAGAAGGATTATAACAACCGTGCCAGAGCTGAGGAATATAGAATATGAGCGGCGGAGACGGCGGCGGTTGGTGCTGCTGTTTTGCAGCCAGAAGGGTGAAGAAATATCTTCCTCTTCTTCCATTTGGCTTTTGGTTTGAAACTTGAAACTTGGTATACAAGAAATATTGATCTTCAGTTTTCTTATAATGGCTTATATTGTTTGGAGTGCTTACTTTGTTGTGCTCTCTATTGTGTTCTTTGGTTCCTTATATATAGTGTGGAATGTGAATACCAATCATGGCACAATCATTTAATATAATAAATTTTCCATTTTTAAAAATAATTTATATTTATTTTTTTGGTTTTTATCACAATTCATTATTTGATCCATTGGACCGATTAATCTGATTCGAGAGTCAGTGTTGATATCAAGTAACTTCATTCTATTTCTGATCGTAGTTTAGAAATCTTCTCTATCAAATTGAACGTCAATCACCACTGATATTACTATATTAGTATAATTTATATCTATTTAGACATACAAGTATTCTATTTAATCTTGAAATGAATTAATGAGAATAAGAATAATATGAAAATATGTATAAGTTGAAAATTGTTGGCAATTTGGTGGTATTGGCTGTTTCATGGCAATGACAGGCCAATAGAAAATTGTGGTAAACCATACCCATGTGCCTTACAAAATTGTCAAAATTGAGCCTTGTAATAAGCTTGACTTGTTCCCTAAATTTATTTGAAACTTGTAAATTATTACAAAAGACCAATAATCATTCAACTAATTTATTTCATACAATATCAAAAAAATTCTCCATTTTGAATTATTTCAAAAATGCTTTCAATTTTCTTCTTCTTTAATCTCCTATTTATTTATAGGTCTTACTTGTGAACATGACTTACATAAAAATAGTAGTATTAAAAAAAGTAGTTAGTAATTAATCAATTATAATTAGCATATATATAATATAAAGTCCTATAGTCTAAAGTAGGGTGATGTGACCATGCTTCTCGCATGAGAAAATCAAATATACTCAAAATTAAAGTTAAGACAAAATTTGAGTGACGTAATTACATAAACTTGGAAAGAAAAATGACAAAAAAAGAATAATATAATAGAACGAAATTTCAGTGAAAAAATATTAGTAAAAGCTTATAAAGAAATGAATTAAAACATGAGATTACTTGTTGAAGGGAAACGCGTTGGTGCAATGTTTGTTTCATGTCATTATCGACAGCTTATTGAGTCTTGTTTTCTACTCTTTATGCTAAACAAAACAAGCTATGTTTAATTAAATAAAATTAATTAAATTCCGTTTAATTAATCTTTTGTCGCAAGCAATCACTTTTGTGTTTTTTTTGGTAAGATGGATTATTAATTAATAATTAAGTTTGGCTTATAGTTTAATTAATCTTTTGGCTGCTGTATGTAAGAAATATACATACTTTGGAAAGTTTCGTATATGAAAAATTTATATAACAATAATTTATGATAAAAATTTATGTGATAACAATAATTTATGATAAAAATTTAATAGATACAGTTCATGTTGTAAAGATATCATGGATGATGCATGAACACGATGATGGTTCGACACTCTATCGATGATGCTCTCACGACCTTCACGTTTCTTAATTTGGTAGGGCTCTCTCTTTTAAAAATGTATAATATTGAAATTCAAATATTGAAAAAGATATTGAAGAAAACCAACAATTAAATTAAATGCATGTGTCTTGGGTATCACACCTGTTACTCAAAAGTGATTTTATATTACTTAATGATTAAGATTAAAATTAATTTATACTAGTATATGACATTGTTCTGGTCTGGGTCCAGCCTCGCGGTCCGGCCCAATAACGCACAAGCCCCGTTAAGTGGACTAGCCTGACCTGGCGCACACCCCCATAGGACGGGCAGGGCACGCTCCCCGCCAAGCGGGACGGCACGTCCCGTAGCGTCCTCAACGCCCCCTTTTTCGACCGAACAGAGCATCCCCGGTCCATCGAGCAAGACCACATGGCTCTCCCGCATCCTTGCATGCTCCCCTCCGCGGGGAGAACAACGCCCTCTGGGGAACCTCGCGAGCTCCCCTCCGCGGGGAGGACAACGTGCCCAGCGCACGTTCTCCACGTGCCCCCCTATGCGGGGACACGTCATCAACCAACTGCCCACCTCCGAAAGAACAGGTCAAACCCACTTTCCGGAGATCAAGGAGCAGTTGGACTAGGGCGAAGACCACGTCCTGGTCTTCACTACGCCACGTAAGCCCTAGCAGTCACCTGGGTTGGCCCTAACAGTCCAGCCCAACGCAAGTGACCGATGACCCAGCGCTGGGGTCTCTCTATAAATACCCTCTTCCTCAAGAGGGTCAGGTAATTCACATCTTGCCCTTTCTGTACTTTGCTCTCACTCTGCCCAATTTCTTACTTTGGCATTGGAGTGTTTTGCAGGTACACCCCCCTTTTCCTCCTCATCGTCGGCAAATAGATAGCAATCCAACATTTAATGGCCAGCTCGTGATCCCCTTCTGATCAGGTCAGATCAGTGGCGCCGTCTGTGGGAACAGAAACTTCCCCGTTACTCCGAGCAGAAAACCAAAGTTTCACCAACACTCCACGATCATGGCTAGCCCACACCGCGACGACACTCCGCACGACTTTGTGCTCAACGTCGCCACCAACGGAAACAAGCAGATGGAAACGTCGCGTCCGGCGGAAACTGACGAGAGAGATGGCCAAACTGCCTCACCGTCATCCGCAGAGCGGCTCCTTCAGGCCGACCACCGGCCCCCGAGCCCGGCAGCATTCCAACCCGTTCCCATCCCGGCGGGAGCAGACCCAACGGTGGCCGTCCTCTTTACGGCCATCAACCAGACGAACCAGCTGTTGTTCCAGCAAAACGCGAGGATTGGAGCATTGGAGCGCATCGGCCCTCCGAGGTCCCCCCCGCGGGAAGACCAGAACGGAGGCTCGAGAAGTCTCTCACCTCGACCCAGAAATCGCCGATCGCGGCTGGAGAGACACCGCACACAGGTGGTGCGAGAACGCACCAGGTCCCCAGCAAGACAAGTTCGCGAGAGGCGCCAGAACACTGCGGCGATCCCGGCCAGGGATCCTCGCGGCGAAAATCCAGGCAGGAGGTCGAGAGCCCGAAACCAAGGGCCTATTCTAAACGGCTTGTCTCCCCATCGGTCCCCAGCTCCCAGCGACGAGGAAGATTATCGCACCCCGCTGTCCCGAGAAATCATGGCTGCCCCCATACCCCAAGGGATGGAGAAGCCCCCGACGCTATCGACGTACGACGGCACATCCGACCCGGACGATCACCTAGAGGACATCGAAGCCATGCTCGATTATCGAAACGTCCGGGGAGCTATCAAGTGCAGGCTATTCCCGACGACCCTGATACTAACTTAATATTAAAGTTAGAATTTATGCGAGTGTTTTTATTATTATTATTTTATAAGAAACTATATATGTTTTTTTTTTTTGAAATTGCAAACATAATAGTAATAATAATCACAGAGACACACGATTTTGATTGAAGTTTCAGACTACATTCTTACATTATAACTTTATCAAATTCATTTTAAATCAATATTTACTTTTTTATTATAAAAATAAGTTTTATAATTAAATTTTTTGTTTAGCTTATTTTATATCATTTTTTTTATTAATTAGATTTTTCCTATAAAAAACTTATTTATATAATATATTTTGTTTATTAACTAGATTTTTTCTATAAAAAACTCATTTTATATAAGGGTTTTGCTATCCAGTGTCCTGAGGGCACTGTTTAAGGAGAATTAATATAGCTATGGCCCCAACCATTTAACTTTGAAATAAACAATTGTTAAATTTAATAATTAAAATATTAAAGATTTACACGGCTGTCATATTTAAAGCTACTTATTATTATCATATGCTAAGTCTTGTTAATATGGGAGAGTAGTGTATACCACACGTTTCAATTTTAATTAACAATTTATTGTTGTTCATTTCGCAATAAAATAGATGGGACCATAGCTAATTTAATGCTCCTTAACCAGTGCCCTCAGGGCACTTGATAGCATTCCCCTTTATATAATAGTTTTATCAAATTCACTAAATATAAGGTCTTGGGTTCGAACCCAACCCTGAACATGCAGTCGTGTTAAATTTTTTGAGGGAGAATTTTGCCGTCTATTATGATCTTTCTCGAGTTGAGAGATTAATCTTTGCAATTACGCACAAAAAATACCTGATTTATATAAAAAAAATCACTAAATATAATAAAGGGAGAGTCTTTTCGTGGTGAATTTTTAAAATTAGTGAATGAATCTTCTAAATCATGAGACAAATTATTAGTGGTGTGGAAGAAACTGTTTCTCATACTTTTTCTATGAATTTGTAGAAGTAAGGGGAGACAAATTATTCCTCTACTATCAGGAAACACTTTCCTCCTATCTAATTGATATTCTTGTGAACATCATGTCTGCCACATGTTGGCGAAATGGATCAGGCACTGAACATGGGTTTGGGTCGGACGACCCAGGTCACAACCAAACGACTAATGGTGATGTCATCCCAATTCTTTCTTAGCCCTTTGGGTTGTTTTTGTCTAGGCTCAATAAAGTTATTCCAGTCCACAACCCCTCAAGCACGAGGCATGGGAAGGGTGAAGTGATTAACTTAAATGAGCAATAGTTTTAGTGAAGTCTATGGTAATGAATTCTTCGAAAGTTGCTTAGGGTGACTCCCTCAAGCGGTGCTTAGAGGCGAGTTCTTCAAGTGTTGTTTGGGGACACACGTATAACATTTAGTTCTTAGGCATGCTGACGTTTTTTTAAAAAAGACAACTACTTTTAGTCGTTGATTATATGTGTCGCTACTGCGAAAATCGGCGCCGGCTTGACAGGAGAGTCGCCACCGTGCGTTATTTATCCCTCAGAGCGGGAAAGGAAACGCTCGAAGTAAACCTCGCAAAGACGGGAAAAAGGTATGGTCATCGCAACCAAAACCTGGATTCGGGAGTCGGTTACGCAAGGGGAAGGTATTAGCACCCCTCACGTCCGTCGTACTCGACGGGATCCACGCTTGGTGTTTATAGGTAAAAGGGTGTATTATCTATCTACGCTAATGGCTGGTCTG